AGAGGTCTTGAATGATTTCCTCATCATTTCATTGAGCATGTTTCTGAGTGGAGCAAAAAATAGAATACCTCCATGAGACAAATAATTGGACAGATTATCGAACGGTAAACCTGGGGTAGCAGGTGATAAAGTGCAGCAGTGACTGTTTTAAGAGTTCCTAGATGTTGCTATTGTTTGTGTGATCGGAGACACTACGAAATGACCAATAAATTGGGTGAGGGCAGCAATAGCAAAGTGATTAAACATACATATGAATGAAGCATAAATTGATGCATACTGTAAATTAAAACAACTCAGTAATAGGAGGAATAATAATATAATATCAGCAACTAAATTAGACCTAGTTTCATACTGTGATAGGGAAGTGAATAGCACATCGACACACTTAAATTTAACTCAAAACCTAGCCTCATACCCATCAATTTAATAGTACGATATTCTGTAGAACTCACATGAACTACATTCGAGGGCAGGCTTTTGGATGGATTCAACTTCCTATACTACATATAAGATGATATATGTGTTGCAGAACTATAAATTTGAACAAATTAACCCCTATCCAAAGAGCTGAAGTAATCGCCAAGGGTGAAAGGAAGCTCCACAAAGATGAATTGTAATTCCCAAGGTGCATTAAAATGGAAGAGGCAAACGAATGAGCGAGGCGAAAGAATTTGTACCATGCAATGTCCTTCAGGTAGAGCAGAAATCCACAGTTGTAATCCTCCTCCACAAGCTGACATAGGCACAGTTAAGAGCTCTACGGATATGTTTTTGCCTATTGCTGTTGAGAAAAATATGATAAAGTATATACATCACATTTGACAGGACGTAAACCAAAATGATGAGAGAATTAATTATTGTTACATGGAGAATGAAAGATATCGACATGAGAGGCAACACGAAGAAAGCTGTAAGATCCTATCGATTCAAAGAACATGTTCAAGTAACCTGAAAACCAAGTAATTAGTGAAGGACTTGGTTCTATAGTCAATAATGCCAGAAACAACAGTTCAAAACAGGGAGATTCTCGAAAGAATGACATTACAGGTGCACTATATAACAACATAGGACTCGTGAAATGAAATTGAACTTAAAGAAATAAGATAAAATTTCCTCATATGGGAAATCTCAATATGGCTATTGCATTCTATCCATCTTAAGTAAGAATCTAGATGATTTCACACACTTTTTACCTATGGTCCATACATGTTGATCATAAAGATCCCTCTTGGAAAGGAGCTTACAATTCAAATGGGTGATTCATGACTTGAGGCAAAATGCAAATTACCCAACTACTTTTTTCACACTAACTGAAGCAAAATATATGACTGCGTTCAATCAGCAATATTTACCCTTCATGTAAAGTAAAGCTGCACTTGAGACATCCAAAATCATTCTCGTGTCATCTTACCACCACAAACTGCATATTTTAACCATTTGCAGCATATAAGAAGGCACCGTCGTTTGTGATGCTGAGAAAGGAGTTGGAAAAGATTAAGATCTGAGGGGAGATGAATTTATAAAAGGTGTTGCTGGTGTTGCGAAAGCAGCAACTGCCCGTAGACTGGGAAAGTTCAATGCAATCAGAAGGTTGCAGCTGAAGGTAAACCAGAACTCAGAAGATGCATACATCACAAGGTAAAAAGGAAAAACTGAACATAATGTAAGCTAAAATGGAAACAGCCAATGCTCGATTTAGACATCTTAGAACGAAAATGATCAGACTGAAAAGTTTACTTGCTCTCAAGGGTTAACGAAATAGTAGGGTGCATGATTATGTCATAGCAGCCAAGCATGAACTTCAATATAAGCCTTACATCTTATAGACATGATCGTATTAACATTGTTAAGAAGGATGCCAGATTGCAACAGCAGTGAAATTCAATGTGCAATGCTGTAGTGATTTGGATTGTACAACACAATGATGAGAAAGGTAGAGAAGCAATGGAAATGATGATTAACGAAAATTGTGGGCAGAGAGCAAACCATGAACTTGGCACTTCTAGGAGTTGTAGGGTTTGTGTATCTACTGTAGTTTCTTTGAAAACTGCACAAAACCTGGAAAGAATCAGCAAATACTAAATTCAAATATTTTTTCCATTCCAGAATGAGTACATCATATAATAAACAAATTACCACCACTTGAGATGCTCATATGTCATGTTGATGAGATTAATGTCTAGACTCCTTGGTTCAACCTCATGAGAGCACATTGACAGTTTGTATGTCTTTCTCTGCTGTTTCTACTTTCTACACTGTAAAATTCACTAATTCAGAACCACAAAGACATGAAAAAAATAAAATAAAAACTAAACCAAGAACTTGAGGGGAGAGGTATAGTAGCTGGAAACTCAACTCATGAGGATTGAGAACTTGCTGGTCTCCTACAATACCAAGAATTGAAAATTAATGAACACCTGCAGAGTCCACAACCAAAGGAAATGAGAGTGAAAATTTGAAACACAATTCACAAAAGAAAACACACCCAAAACTCCACAAGCGACTCAAATGGATGATTTTTTTTGGGAAATGACCTGACAGTAACACAACACAACAAAAGCGGAAGGAAAACTTGAGACTTTTTTGGCTAATTAAAAGCACCGAAAGCGAGTAGAAGGTTATTCCAAACCAGACTAAACCTGAATCGAAAATTTCCAAACACGTTCAATCAATTGTCTTTTATGGCGCTCCCATCCTGTCGTCAAACCAAGTCAACAGCGGCAGGTCCGGCACCGCTTTTGTCCTGTTCTATGTGTGGTACTGTAGGAAGCATTAACGATTGCAAGGAGAGAGACCTAGTAGTATGGTAAAGTTGAGAGAGGAGAGCAAAGAGGGAAAGTCATGCAATGTAAGAGGGGAGATCTTCAAGGTTGGAATTTCGCCGAGGCAGAAGCGTGAAGATCTGCAGAAGTTGGGATTCCACCGAAGCCATTTGAGGTGGAACCGGAAATAGGGGGTGTGGTGGTGAAGTTGGAAGGCTAGAAGAGGAGATTCGGGACTGCTGCCAAGTCGGAGATCAGGGACGATTCGTCGGGAGCGATTTGGGAAAATGATTAAGGGGCGGCAATCAAGGTTTCCGCCATCTGTGCTTGAAGGAGGTTTGCAAATTGCTGGGTGAAGTTAATTCTGGAGGAGATAGGGTTCCCCTCTCATCCCCTAAATACGCCGCGGCATGGACAATTTCCTGGATGCGTGTGCGGTGGGGGTGGCATGCCTTCTCTGGAAACCAGTGTGTTTTCCCTGTTTTTGGCAACATAATCTCAACTTTCCACATCATGTTTCAGCCGCACAGAAGGGCCTCGGTGGAATCCCACCCAATACGCCCTCCCCTGCATCCGTTTCCACCTGCGCCGGCCTCGACGGAATCCCATCTATAGCAGATCTTCACGCTTCAACAGGAGGCTTTCCCTCTCCTCTCTCTGGACTTCTTTAATCCACGCTACTTCACCCGTCACCCGCCATCTCTTTCCCACGCTATCGTATGTGTTTTTACTTCCCTGGAAACCAATTAGGGAACAAAGATCAAAACAAAAACAAAAAGAAGCTACATGAATGCAGCAGGCAAGATATAAGGGGAATGAATAACAACGGGATCAGAAGCTAGTATTCCACCGAGCAAAGCTACCATTCATCTCTTGTTCTTATTGTTCTTCTTCGACAGCGGGAGAGAAGGAGAGATTGGGACTTGGGATTCCGCCGAAAAGGTACGACCAACAAAGACAAAGGAAAACATTAAGCAAAAGATGAATGGTAGTAAAAGGGTGATTGAAGATCTAGCAGATGAAGTTGAATCTGCTGTTGCAACCCTTAACCATAGTGTTGATTGACAATGAGAAAGAGGAGATGCTAATAGATGAAGGATTGGAAGTAGAAGATGTCAGAAGAATGGTTGGAAGAAGAAAAGTGTTGTGTGTGGGAAGAAAAGCAAAGAAAGAGAATAAGGGTTGGAAGAGGGTTCTGTGAGAATTGCAGAGTTGGCGTGCAAAGTGGAAGAGGGAAGAAAGAGTTAGACATAAAAGCAAAATGGCGTTGTAAGAGTTTCGGAGGAGAAACCAGTGGATAAATGAAATATCCAATGGTTCATCGATGGCGAGTTGGGTAAGAAGATGAGTTGGTTTTTTGTGTGAGAGGAGCAGAGTGCCACATGGGCGAACGAAGGGGAAGCATTTGGAGATTGCCCAGTCGCAGAAGAGAGAGTGGGGGCCACTAATAAACAGTAGTGGCAACCAAGGCTTTTATATACCAACTACTAGCTACTGAAAATTTAGTTTCAAAACTCAGAGTGACTAACTGTATTTATTTCCCTCGAAATACAGTTTAAACTCTCGGCAAACTCTATTCTTTTCTCATGCTACTACTCTCTTAGTGTTTTTCTTTCTTTTCTTTACCGCTGCCCTCAAAACCTTCATCAACCTTCTATTTATACTTGGCTACACTGCCATTGTAGAGTTGTGGTCACTTCCACATATATTGTCACAGCTTAGCTATGTCGCTGTAACAACATTTAATTGTGGCTTATCATTTTTTGTTGATTAATTAGTGGATCGACTTGCAGATGGGGACAATGTTGGATTAGCGCTTGCAAGATTTGGAGTCACTTAGATTAATTACGCAGGGTTTCAGTCTTTAGATTGCAATTCTATAGCCATTTCATAAGGTAATTTACATGGCTTTAAATTAGGGTTCTTTGTTACGGGAAAGAGACACCGCTACAAAAAATTAGACCCATACCAAGGGTTCAATAAACTCCGGCTAAAAATTTTAGAACTCACAATACCATGGATTTATTGCAGGGGTTTGCAAACCCCTGCTACACACATGACAAATTGTCACTTCTCGTTTCATTCTCCGATCTGAAATGTTGTCCGAAAATGAAAATCTAAGAACTTATATTACATATTTTGCACAATGAAGGGTGGAGTCTTTAATATTTATTTACTTTGAGTACTTAGTTGTAGTTTTGGTACCGTTCCGATTTCTATCCCCAATCAGTTTCGAGATTCTAAGCTCCTTGTCTACTGTAAAGAAAAAAGCTCCTTGTCCCGTTTTCTTTTCTCTCTGTTCCGATCGTTCGAATTCTTCGACGATTTGCTTCTTTAAGTTCTGATCGATCTCCGTAGCTCGCTCGAACCACTAGACTTTGAAATTTGAATCTCTCTCGCTTTGGGAAGATTGTCGATTTGAAACCCTAAATCCTCTTTGATGGCGACTACTTCAGATACATTTCATTTTCGTCGTTGATGGTCACTCTGATCCTCTGCCTCCGTTCATTGCTTTCTTCTTCGTAAACATCACCGCCGCCCACCGCCTGCATCCTTCATCGTGTTATCGGGAAACTGAGTGAATGAAGTCCATTATTGATATGGGGCGCATGTGAAGCTTAAATTCCCCCGAAGGATCCAAGCATACTGTGCCTCACCAGTCTTGCGACTTCAGATTGAAGCGCTTTTCGCAGCTTAGGAGCTTGAAGAGAGCCGAGATGTAAGACTCACTAAGAAGTTGGAGTCTTGAATGTCGTGCTCTCTTCAATTCATCGATTTTAAAGTTCCAATGAATTATGAATTCATCGCGCAGAGATGGTGTTCTTGTGCTGTTCGCGACCATCCCCGCAGCAGGATTGTCTCCGGATGTAATTATATATGTATCAGTCTCGCTATCTTAACTACCGTTTCGTCTCGTCACTCTTTTAATCTTGAATTAGTGGGTTCCTTCTTCCTTTGCTTGTTAATCTGTATTGCCAGGAGCGGTAGCTTCAATTACGATTCCAAGTTCAGTAGAGCAACTGCTAAGCCGCTGGAATCCCTCAAAGAAGATGGCGAACTTGTCAAGAATGGTTTCTCACTGAACCATGCGAGGGTTTTGGTTCAGAATCTTATGAAAAGGGCAGGCATGCTCTTCGGACATGGAGGTACGTCGTGTTTTTGCTGGTCAGTGTCGTGAATTTGGAAACACAAGAGTCTGATGGTGGGAGCTTCTTTTTTTGTTGTTGTAGACATGTTTGGTTCAATTGGGCGTTCGTGGATCCCAATACCCCAGTTCACAGTGGGGTGAAGTTATGTGTTTGTGTGAAGGAGTTCGTGCCATGGTTGATGGTGCCGCTTCAGGTGGTGTATGTGAATGATGCAAAGGATCTTAAGAAGGCCTCTGCCTCATTTTTTAATCTGTTACTTGTTCGATTTATGATAGCAAACCCGAATTAGAACTTCGAACTATTTGCTGCTCGTAATGTGATCAATCCTTTTGCCGCTTTGATGTTCTGGAACGGTTTTTTATCTGAGATATTTGACAATGACTTTGCTTTATATCTGCAGAGAACATATGGTTGACATCGGAGATCAAGACTACGATGATGATGACCAGTGAGAACTGAACCTCATTTAGAATTCATCCTGATTTTCTGTGAATAGTCCTTCCCCTATTCTGAATTAAGGGTGCCTATTGCAGTGTCAACACCTGTAAGTATTGTAGCTTTGTGATTGTTGGAACAGGAAGTGACCAACTAATACGTTGAGTCGAACTTCCAATTATTGTCCTCAAAATATGCTGTTGTTCCATGTCGTATGTAGTTGTATGTACTAGCACTTGGAGGATTACATAGACTACCCATTGTTGTGAATTAACTTGAATTATTGTAGTGACTGTAAGTCTGTAACAAAATATGTATGTACGCAGGAACTAAGTAGTGTAATCAATGTATAATCTAATTCTTTGGTTTCGTATTTGTTCTTCATATTTGTGTCGATAATTAGCTGCCATCATACTTATGCTATTAATATAATGTTCTGTTAGATGGTTAAGTTGGTAGCTTTCATTAGTTTATATTATGATATATTTAGTTTTCTTAACGTGATATATTCATAGCTTTTTCTTGTTTCTTTGTCCTTCTGTGTTTGTGGCTTGAGTGCTAGCAGTGGGTGTATATCCGGAGAAGAGCTATGGCTTTTATTTATAGCATTTGACAGTTAACCAGGATTACTAACTGTCTGAATCCATTCTATAGCATTTGGAGTCTTGATCTGCTCGTCAATTGCGACGGAGTTTGAATCGTCTCTCAAACTGAGCCTGATGCTGTACGCTTCTCTCTCTCTCTCTCTCTCTCTCTCTCTCTCTCTCTCTCATGATGATGATCTCTTTGTTTATTTCTATTTCTTCTTGTGGAAATGGAATCCGATTCAGAGCTTGGAAGTGTCATTTCCCTGTACTATTTTGTTTGATTGTTAGCTGATTTACTGGATTTCACTTTGCGGTCTTTTCTTCAGCCGCCGCCAATTCAGCCCGCAGACAACCAGATGAGTCTAGTAGATATAGACACCATCAAGGTCATCAGGAAGAGAAATGGCGGTATTTTCTTCCGATCTCCCTGTTTATTGTTCGCATAGCTGCCTATCTATTTTCAGCTTTCTTCTAGCAGTGGACTTGAAAAAAGCTTGAGTCTGGTTGGTGTAAGTTAATAGTGATTTTGAATTAATTATGAACTCAAATATCTTGCAAATTGGAAACCAGTCAGTTCCCTCTTTCTAATTGCTACTTCATCCTTTTACTCTAGCAAGCTACTAGAAGCTTGCCACTTGTTGGTAGTGGCTATTGTGCTTTTGGATGAATTAAAAACTATGTATGCATTTTTTGGGTAGGAATATATGTATCCATTGATACTATGTTGCTAATGACTTTCAGTTCCAAAGTAGATCGACTGTAGCTGCAGATGGTGATCCTTCCAGCTCGCTTTTGTTTGCTGGGAATGACAAGGAGAGGTACAAATGCTATACATGATGCTTAAACAATGTAATTCCTTTTCTGTGGATGAACTCTTTAAATTTCAGTACTCTCAATAATTAGATCATAACTTGTTACTATCTCAGGGAATAGAGAACTTCAAGTGGGAATGAAACTACTCGATTCAGTGTGCTACCAAGAAGTGGTGCTCTAAAAAGAAGGAAGATATCTAAAGGGGTATTATCCTTGGTCTTTGAAGGATGTTGCATTATGATTACATTAGTAGGTTCTTTTGAGTTTTGAGTACTTGGAATATTATGAGTAGTAGACCATGTTTCATTGTATTACATTTCAATATTTATTGTTTTTAGTTTTTACCATTTCACTATATATTATACTAGCCTATAGCTCGGGTCGTTGGCCGTAATTGTTTAAGGAAAATGGAGTTATGATATCTATAATAGTAGTGTCGAGAAATGAGTCGTGTTTAATATTATCATAAGATTGTTGTAATTTTGCATATCGTTGAAGACAAAGCTGTAATTTGAATGAATATTCACAATTAGTTAAAACAAAGTAATTATTTAATTAAGGGAAAAAGCAAACCATTCACACACCTATTGTAAGCATGAGCACACACCTATTGTAAGCATGAGGAAGATACATTTCAAGATTAGCTAATCAATATAAAACACTAACGAAATTTACTGATCGCAAAATTTAATCTAGTTGAATATTATGAAAAATAACATGAAGGTCCAAAATAGGGAAACTCAAGACATTGTCTCATTGTTCATGACATGGTACTCAATTCAACAAAGGCAAAAATAATTTGACCAACACAAGTTCTAATAACCAAATGCATTGTTCCAGGGACCGACTGTGACCATGACTTCAAATGTCTGTCCTCCAAGCATGTTCAGAAGGGCCATATAGTCAGCATTGACAACATCAGCATGACTGAATACATATCCAACAATCGTTCGTAACTGTGATGACGGGAAGACGATGTCAACACCGATGAAATTGTCCTCAATTGTGAGGTGGACGAAATGGATTCTAGATGCAGGGGACCAGGACGTCGTCAAATCCGTTACACGTCCGGATAACAGAAAAGAGGTGCCCTAATGTAAACACAGAAAGGAATATGGTCAAAGCAAATTGAGAAAATGCAGCATGCCACAAAAGGCGTACGATTAAAAGGAAATTTATTCGTTTAGTTACCTGATTTGCCACATCCACTTGCAACATAATGAGATCGATGGTGTCAGCACTCTCACAAATTTCAACAACATCATTGTATTGCAGAATAGCAATAAAACCAGGGATTTTTCCAATAATAGCACCTTTTAAAAAAAAATTACAAAACTAGCACCCAGCCGAAAAAATTTACACTAATAGCACCCTTTTTTTTGGACCGCACCTCCAAGGTGCATTTTATGTATAAACTGCACCTTGGAGGTGCGTTTTGCGCCACGTCAGACTGGGAACCACACCTTCAAGGTGCGGTCTGTGTTTCCCCGGGAGCGGCCTTGGAGACCGCAGGATCCAGCTGCAATCCAGCGGCGGACCGCTTGCCACCTCAGCGATTCACGCCATAGATCGCAGACCGCAGCGGCAGGGAGCTGTCAACCCACGGGGAGCGTAAACCGCGCCGGGAAGCTGCGGTTTTGACTAGGGGAAAATTACCAGACCGCCCCTGGAGGGTGCGGTCTGATGGGTATAAATACCCCCCTTCCCCTCTCATTTCTTCACACCACAACCCATTCTTCCTTCTCTCTCTAGAATTTATCTCTCTAAACCCTCCCCTCCCAAAAGCCTAGGAAATAGTGGTCTGTTGGTTGCGGCTAAGTCCGATCTGCCATCGGAAAACATTTCTTAGATTTTTTCCTCAAAACCCGCCGAGCCGAATCTCTGTCCGAATTTTGATTTTTTCCTCAAAACCCGCCGAACCTAGCCGAATCTCTGTCCAAATTTCCCAAAAAAATGAGCGATTGGTGGCAAGGAGAGGGAGTTTATGTTGATGAAGTTTCTTGAATTGAGTGTTGTTTTAGTTTTTATTTTAGTTATAAGTTCTTGGCTTTCTCTACTTTTATCGTTTTAACTTAAGGCTTGAGTGTTCTCATGAGGGTTATTTGAAAACATGAAAGTTCCAAGCATCATAGCTCTAACTCTGACAATAATTGAAAACATACATAACAAGTACCAACAAATGAAAACCGCAAACTATGTCGCATTAGCTGACTCCCCCACATCAGGCCCTGGATTTTGCGGACCAATCGGACCTGGACAACTCCGTTTATCATGCCGTGGAACTCTGCATACTGAACATCGTCTTGGGCCTCGTGGTGGTCTTCCACTTTGATCCATTTCGTTTTGAATTCTCTTTTTCCTCGATCGACCCGGTTCACGCCTCTGTCCGAACGGTGGGATTATCAACTTTCCTAAGTAGACCGTCCAGTAAGCTTCATCAGGCAATGCACGGAAACTACGTCCATAGAAATTTTTGAGTGAGTCGATATTGAAGAATGGACTGACGAAATGACGGGGGTCTTTGCTCCAGTTTTTAATTACAGCCATTGCATGAGAGCATGGCCACCCTCTCCCCTGATACTTCTGGCATGAGCACTCACCAAGTTTTGTCCTGAAATTTACCAAAACTTCATGGCGATGGCCCCCGCGTCTACCATTCTCACGGTGTTCGGTTGTCACGCTAAACTCACCAGTTGCCCGATTCATAACGGTTACACTGTGTTGACTACTCTTCCGATTGTCATGCTCCAGTATTTCTGTGACTTTATTGGCATGGACCTATCCCTGTGCCTCGTTTGTCCTTGCCCAGTGTAGTCGATTGACGAACCATCCATTCGTTTTCCAGAAAGTCATCTCCACAATGGCAGAGATTGGTAGCGCCCGAACACCCTTGTAGGCAGAATTGATACTCTCTGATGAGTTCGTTGTGGCCACACCCCATCTTGTACCTCCGTCTTTATGGAATTTCCACATGGATAGGTCGTGTCCATCCAGCCACTTTGCCCTTTCAGGGCATAACTCGCGCATCTTCTGCAACTTCTCCTGGAATTTTTTCTCCTGGTATGCAACAGCCGAGGTAATCACAATTAAGTAATATGTTAGTAATAATTTGGCAATTTATTACAATTCGAACAACAATCAGGTACTCTCGTTAGACTCTTAGGAGAGGTTTACATCTTCTTAGAAACGCAGCCTTTTTGACAGAAAAAGGGGGGATCCGAGGATCTCTTAATACCCGATTTTCCTAAGAAATGGGAGGATCATGATAATCGCTTAAAACCCCATTTCCTTAGACGTGCATCTCTTTATAAAGAGTCTAACAAGTGTACCATTTATTTGATATAAGATATTGTTCTTCTCCAAAATTAAACAACCAATAGAGAGCTTACCAATCCACCACAAATTATCAGCAAGCTTCTTCCGCTTGAAATGATGGTTCCAGTTGCTCTTGAAGTGTCATATGCACCACCTTTGGGACCACTTCCGGGCTGGATCCAAACCTAAGATGGCAGCTCTAATCCCGGCGTGCCGATCATAGATTATTGTCAGGTTCGTCCTCCTAGTGACGTGGAGCTGAATTTGCCAGAAAAACCATCCATAACTATCAGTATTCTCTCCCTCAACAATGGCGAAGGCTAACAGAAAGACTTGTTTGTTTGCATCCGCCCCACTGGCAATCAGTAGAGTGCCCTTGTACTTGCCGGTAAGGAATGTACCATCCACTTGGATCACAGGGACACAGAAGCCAAAACCATCAATAGATGGCTTGAATGCCCAAAAAAGTCGTCTGAAATGGCGTTTGTTACCTGGCTCTGGCGTTTGTACCTCTTCATCTTGGTATCTAGGGGAGAAAACAGTGCTAGGGTTAGATGCCTCTAGTGCCAAAATCAACCTGGGAAGGAATGCATATGATTCTTCCCAATCACCATATACCGCGGTCAGAGCTTTTTGCTTTCCATGCCACGCCTTCTTATAGCTAATCATATAACCATAACGACTTGCAATGTCAGCGATTATGACTTTCACCTTTAGGTCAGGATCTTGCTCAATTAGATGCTTGATAGCCACAACAACCACCCTGGATTTCAACTGCCGATAGCCTTGGGATGTTATGGATGACACACATGTGTGTGTGTTCACCGCACGGGATATGACCCAATGGCCGTGTCTCTTGCTGTTGATGGCCCGGATCCTAACATTGCATCCCTCGTTATGATTACGGCATCTGACTATGAGCCTTTTCGTGTTGGAATGAGTTGTGTGCCATTCAAAATGCCAATTCATTGCTTAAGTATCAATGGCATGCCACACCTCCTTCTTCGAGCCAAATTGTTGGCCCTTCATAAACCAGTGAGTGGACCCCATATTGGAACCTCCGGCGGTTCCATGTCGCTGTCGACCATCCAATTGCCGTCCGGATTGTGATTGTAGTAGGGGACTGGTACACGGTCATGAGCCACCTCATCATCATTATTTGAGTCTGACTCTGGTCCTGAATCATCAGCACCTTCAAGTGTGTCGGAGCTGTCTGCACTGACATTGTTCTCTCTTTCTTCATCGGATGGGTCACTGACTGGTGTTGGCAGGGCATCTTCCATCTGATCCAACTCATGAAAGGCACCTTCATCAGCTCCATAATGGTAGTTGTGAAAACTACCACTGCCTGAGTGGAAGTTGTACTGGGGTTGGTTGGCATGGTCCGGTTGAACTTCTTCTTCATATGACGGGTAAGATTGGTACTGAAAATAGGAATGAGGATCATGGTAACTTTGGTAGGGATGATCTCCATACTCATCACCTCCACAATGGATACCAAATGTTTGACCATCTCCAGAATGACCTCCAACACCTACGACCGGCTCGGTGTAAACGAACATCTCGGCTTTGGAAAGTTTGTTGGACCTTAAGAATTCGAGCATGGCATCTACCTCATCCTGAGTGGTTATAAGATATTCCTCGTGCCACAACGACCCGCCTTCTCTGTTTGGATATCGGTACACCATACGATCAACTCTTCTCGTGCCATCCATGCAAGTAACATTAGTACACATTTGATAGAGCTCTTCAAGCATCGGTCTGGTAGCGACCTTTATTTTCTAAAAATTGCCACCGACGTAGGTGACCCCCTTTCCGCTCTCTTCTGTGTAACCATTCCACCGTAACCAAAGCGTGAACTTTTGGAATGCCATATGCGAAAAAACAATAGTTCAACTAATATCATAAAAATCACAAATCACAATGCACAATAAAAAGTAATACAAAAAAAAAACTTACGAGTTAACGTTAACCGCAAAAACACTAGAGAAATATGGAGCTACAATAGAAAATTGAAAAGGGAGAAGGAGAGGTGTGAAGAGAAGAAGATTTCCCGACTGCTTTTTATAGGCAAAATCATCAATGAAAACCGCACCTTAGAGGTGCGTTTTTCATCTGCCATGCAACCGCACGTCTGTGAATCTGCATGGCTGCTGGTCTGGTGTCGGAAAATAATTGACACACAAACCGCACTTGGGGTGCGGTTTTGCTTTGGAGAA